TTCATAATCGTCATTTTTGAACTTTTTTCAATTTAAATGAAGCAGATAGATAAAAATATATAGTGTAAACATGATTAATTTTTCAGTGATGAAAAACTTTGAAAAAATTAAAATAGCCATTGTTCCCTTAACCGCTTCTCTAACACTCTCTCAAATACTTTCATTGCATGTTCTAAGAGTTTAATAGCTCTGTAAGACCCGCAATCTATAGGATCACCTTTCCCCTTGTATACTGGGATAATTATACTTCTTCGCCAGTCCTTGGGAATAGTACCTTCTGTGACAATTTGATTGACTAAATTCATTAACCATTCAATCCCTAAATCATCAGAACCTTTAAACATCTCTGATACCACCATCGTTAAACCCGATGCCTTCCCTTTCTTTATCTTTTTCATTGCTCTCTTTATCTCATCCTTGCCAAATTTACACCCTGGACCTTCTATACCTTTGCACAACTAATTTATTATCCCATTCATTTTCTTCATTCAAAAGTCCTATCATGTAAATCTTCCAGGTGTTCTTAATACCACTACCATCAATCGCCATTTTTCCTTCCATATTTTTCACACACTTTACACCTATCACATCCTGCCTCTTTTTTGACATCTGTTTTGCCATTTGAACCATATTTCCAATTCCATCAGTGCATTCCATTTCTTTAGCAACATGTCTTTTTTCTTCTTGAGTCTTCGCTATTAATTTCTTAGCATTTCTTTTAGCCATCTTATAAATATCATTATGACTATTTTCTTTGCTATTATACCATACTTTGAAACACCTCCGTTTCTCTATACGGCTTTCGCTACCTCCGGGTTCCACCACCAAGTCTCCTTATGTCTAGGCGGCCCTTTTATCCATCCACATACCTCCTCATTTGTCATTACCCAGGCTTTCTTCATGGCTTCCCACTTGTCATTCACCCCAGATGCTTGTGCCATCTCCGCCTCCCTAATCGCCAATGCCATATTGAATTGATGTCTAGCACTCTACTCCTTCAATTTCCAAACCTTCAGCCTTGGGACAAACTTTCTTTTAGTGACCCTGGCACCTTTAAGAGTGAGATCTTCTACAACTAGTCGATGCTGATTTATACATTCCTCTCCCGGTATCACTTTCACATTTTTTACTATACATCGATCACATCTTCTTAATAACAAGTAATCCACTGCACTTTTGGTACTACCCGACTTATAAGTCACCAGCTCCTCTGATTCTTTCTTAAACATTGTATTACAGACAATCATATCCATAGCATCACTAAAATCTAAAATCCTCTCTCCTTCCAAATTTCTCATGCCGTAACTGAACCCTCCATGTACTCCTTCATAACCATCACTACTCGCTCCCACATGTCCATTCAGATCACCAGCCAGGATAATCCCCTCTTCATTTGCCAGTCTCGATGTCACCCCCAATAGACTGTCCCAAAATATATCTTTCTCTTCTTCACTTCTTCCAACCTGAGGAACATATGCCGAGATAATATTATATAGCTTTCTACCAAAAATCATCTTGATAACCATTATCTGGTTGTCTAGCCTTCTCACTTTGACTACTTTGTCTACCAATTTCTCCGCAACCAATACCCCAACTCCAGTCTTACCATAATTACCTCCTTGCCAAACGAATTTATACTTTTTGCTAGTCTTGCCAATCATTCTGGTCTCATTTCCTTTCCATCTAGTCACCTGTATGCAGCACACATATACATGCCTTCTGTGCAATACATCGACGTCTTCTCCCACTCTTCCCGTCATACTCCCAACATTCCATGTCGTGACCCTAACTCGATCACCTGTAAACTGGTTTCTCCACTTTTTATCAGGTCGTTTATGGCCGTCATAAGTTTCATTTTCATAAATAGTGGTTCCACCAGGTTTCCCAATGAGGAGGCCCACGGGGTACTTTGGGCTGTACCCTGCGCATGCTTTGTTGTAACCATAGGGGAATTTTTTAGCAAGGATTTTACAATCAAATGCCCTTCCTGACATCAAACTTTTTAAGTGGTTTTTACACCCCGCCGAGGAGACGGTGTTCCTATTCTAGACCCAGATCACAAGGAACCTTTTAGACCTCCATTAGCCGCCATAAGACGTTGCTACTCCCTTGCCACGATGAGGCTGAAGGTAGGATTTTGGGAATTAAATTAAACACACCACTATGTCAAGTGCTAGTGTTGAGTTTATTTAGCCACACTAATTTATATTTGGTGATAGCTGCTCAAGGCTTGGGGGTTAAAATATAAGGGTTGTGTATTTTATTGGTCAAATACGTTTTGGTCAATTGAGAGCAATATTTGACTGGTCAAATTCAAATAAATGTTTTTCTAAGACAATATTAACTTTATTTTGTATATAAATATTAATTTTATAATATTTTTTAAATTCATTGTCATTCAATAACTAGTTTAGCTCTCCGTGGCAGTCTTGTTCTGATTCATATTACAATTTTCTTTAATATTTTTTAATCAATTTTTATGTTGTCGATTTCTGTTTTAATAAGAATATTAACCCAAATTGACCAATTTCTCTCTGAAGAAGTAGAACTAGGAATTTTTAGTAAAATGCCACTTCTCTACATAGGCATGGTGGGCAAAGCACATTCCACTAATTTGAGGCCGGAATCGGCTTGTTTCTTATGGAAGTTACTGTTTCCATATAATTTGCTATTAAACATGCCACGTTTACTTCTGAAATTTAGGATATCACTTGAAATATATTGATCATCATCACCTTGTAAAATGCCTAATTCTTGATTATGTCAAATACTTCATTAAATTCACTATTAATGAGAACTCTTGATATTGGGGACCCAATAAATAAGCAGCATTGTGATCCATTTTACTTTTTTCAAAAATATTTTTAATTTTTTTTATAGGAGTATTTAACTGTATTTGACCAGGTCAAATACTCCTCTGGTCAATTGACCAACTTACCAACCCTCAAAAATATAGAAATTATTTTGTTATTATAATTTAATATATAAATAAAGCATTTATTTTTTCTTATTTCATTCAAGTCACTATTCATAAAATATTAATAAAATTTATCTAAATATTGAATTTCATTTTTTTTTACAAAAATTTATAATTATCACACTATGTTTTTGAAATATAGTGAAAGTGTGGTGTGTTGTTAGACACAACTTTTGATAGTAGTGATAAATTTAAAATTAGTGTCAAAGTTTTCATCCTTTTTTATTTGAATTCTAATATCAACCATTTGATATTATTAAATCCATAATGAAAACAGGTTTCATTGTCCCAATATACTAGTGTTGTTAAAGTAACTAGTTATCTTTTTTGAAATGTAACTGCCAAAAGTAACTAGTTACTTCTAAAAATATGTATGTATAAATCTAAATAATATATTCAAATAATTATTTTATTTTTAATATGTGAATTGATCATTTATTAAAAGAATATTAAAATTATAATTAATATACTATAACTTTATAAAAATATATAATTAAAAGAAGAGAAATAAAAAAAATAAATAATATATTTTAAGTTTAGTTGGTGGGGCTTAATGACCCAGGTATAGATAGACAGTTGGATCGACAAATTAACTGATATTCTTTGTTGTAGGTAGAAGCCTTCTTTTAAATCACCTGTGAAACATAACCTTTGCCTTATTATTTTAAATAATTTTAGGGCTTGGGGTCCAAATGATCCACAGGTGTCTGAGACTATCCGAACAAACAAAAGATTATTAAGGTGGCTATATTTATTTTTGTATTCTCAGCTTTAGTGATGGAGTTAACATTAAAATATCTGGCAAAATGATCTACAAGTGTTTAATCCCAAGCTTGTGATAAACCTTGGTTCCAAGGGACTAGCTTTGTGCTAAATTAGTTTTAAATTTTGTTTAAATATCTGATTGTGTTCACAAAGGATATGTCCAAATAGATTTTCTTTTCTTAAATTGTTACATTGCTGGGTTTTATAATTTTGCAACCAAATTCAAGTAATAAACCTATTTTTTAATATTATATTTTCTTACAAATTTAACACAATATTTTCAATATTTTTTGCCCTCAAGTTGCTGGCAATATTTATACTTTGGAATTTCATAAGTTATAAATGTATTTTTTTTAAATTTTACTAAATTAGAGCATAAAACTTAGATATCAAATATCATTTCCTTCAACAAAAGATAAATGAAATAACCCTCATTCTATAGGCTAATTTAATTTTTTAAAAAATTAAGGAATTATCTAGGGTATTCATGGTCCTCTTGTTCAGGATTTTATTGCCTTCTAAAAAAAATAGGAAAATTCTATGATCTAAAGTGTTTTCCAAATTATACAATAGGATGATGCATGCATATATAATTAAATAAAAAATAAATTATCTATACCCTTCCCTTACTCTTATAATCACAATTTTCTTGACAAAAAAAACTCAAATATTATATAGTTCTATTTGAATTAACATTAAAAAATATATATTTGCAATAAGTTTAAAATAAATATTTGCAACAACTAGTTATATAAATATCATATTTGCAAATATTTGAGTGAAAAAATCATTAATTCTTAATACATAACCAGAAACCCATTTCTAGAATTAATAGACCATTTTAAAATTTATAAGAACCAGAAAGTAACTCCTAATGTAACTGTAACTAGTTATATTTTTACCAATGTAACTAGTTATGTTTTAAAAGTAACTTTAACAACACTACAATATACCCATAATGAGTGTAGTTGTTTTCCCTCACCAGCCCAAAATCCAATTGGGCCTGATACTTATTTGTCACTTGTATAAGCCACTACTTTAAATATATTTCCTAAAAAACTTTTGCATAATTTGTAAAGATTTTTTTTATAAAATTATTCTTTAAATAAGGTATGACTGGGGGTTGGGGGGGGGGGGGTGGGGATTTTGAAGAACAATTGAAAATATGAAAAATAATAAGCTATACAAATCTAATTGTAATTTTTACATGTACAACTTAAGGGTTAAATATGTTTATATATATAATTTTATACATAACCTTCTTCTGATAAATTTTTATCAATAATCATTTTTCCATGTCTTAAATAATTTAAAATTGGAGCAAAGTATGTTGGATCTCTATCAATAAGATATGAACCCATCTCATCCTAATAAAAAGTTTAATATATATTTTTAAAAAATTTTATTTAATATTTGTAATGTGATATATATTATATTACTTAAAATGATTATGATAATGTATAGTTAAGATAAAATTAACCGTAAAAATTTTTTTTGCATTTACTTTATCCGTGCTAAGGTTAGGATCTTCTTTAATCAATCTATAAAGAAAAGAGTCCATATGCTTTGATAAGGTCGTTTTTGTTGTAATAAATAGGGTCCCTCCAACATTTAATCGAACCCACTGAGATGATGTCGTGATGTTATTTCCAATACTATTCGAACTATAGTCCATTATTGCACAATAATTTCAAGAATTATCATTTTTGCTAGAATATATATGAACTAGGCTAAATACTATCAAGTGACATTTTAATTTGATAACTGTCTGACCTGCACCAATCATTGACACTATATTTGTGTCAAATAAGTTTATGATTTATTTAAAATAAATTAAAATACATAAAAAATGATATAAAAAAGTAATTAGAAAATAATATAATTAGGGCCTCTAAAAGGAAAACTAATTGTATTAAAAAAAATTTTCATGTATATTCACGCTTGTTCATAAAATATTTCATTTTTTTTATTCCTTTTCCAATAGTTGTGTTATCAAGATTCTCCTCTTTTCTTTGTAAAAAATTCCTCATAGAAAATATATCCACTCGCTGATTTATTTATTATAAAATTGCATTTTCTCTCTTCCCTTTCCAATAGTTATATCAAGATTCTCCTATCTTATTTTTTATGAAATTTGTATTTTCATAAAAAATGATATATTCCATCTTTATTACTTATACAATTGTCTTTTCCCCTCTATCTTAGTTTTCATTATTGCGTAATACGTGATTTAAGCGCTAAGACTTCTAGTGTTGACAATCAACAGACCTATGCTAGATTTTCCTCAAATCCATCAAACTGGATCTTTATTGGGAAAGAAATGAGGAGCCTTTCACATTTTTGTGGGCGATCCGCACTTAATTTCCCCCAGTAGTTCTACTACTGCTTAAACGACTACGGGGATAAAATGAATTGGGCAAAGCATAGCCTATACGCTAGAACTGCGCATATATTTAATTACTATAATGGGTATGACAGAGTTGTTAGAGAAGCTCGCTAGATAAGCGCGCAATTTTTTTGATAGCTATAGCTAATAGCATGTTAATTTTCTAATTATTTATTTTTTTAGCGGGCTATTTTTTAATATAATGAATGTAACTATAAACATGAAAATTTAAATATAATGTCATAATTAATTATAATTAATTATTTAATTATAATTAATTATTTAATTTTAAAATAAAAATTTTCAATCAATTTGTAATTTATATTTTTAATTTGTATTATAAACCTAAATCATCGGTGTATTTAAAATGTCATCGCAAATGGATATCCTAATCGATGTAAGTCAGACAATTATGATATTAATGAAATGTAAAGTTCCCTGGAAGAAAATATTTTTTATAACAATAATACAAATTTTTCATTTCCAAAATTTATTTTTGAATATATGTAAAAACAAAAGGTGGGTTCAAATTTATTTGTTCAAACTGTAAAATATATCTTCAAATAAATCTAATAGCTATAAACTCAAACACACCTAAAGGTATTCATTTTTAAATTCTAATATTATTTTTATTTTGTAAAAATGGCCATGCCAACAGCTTTAAGGAGACTAACAGTTTTAAAGAGATAGAAAAATATCTTAATAATTTTGGTATAGGGGAGACTAAATTTAAAAAGATCAAATCAATTCAAGCTAAGTTGATTAATAATATTGCACATGCGAATATTTCTCAGAAACTGGCTGATAAAGTTATTGTTGATTTTATTATAATTGATACAGTTCAGCCAATGTCATTAGTTTATAATCCATCATTTACCATGATCATTAAAACTCTATCCTCTGGTACAACAATTTTTTGTCGCCAGACCCTAATGATTGAGAGAACAAACAAAAATGCCCTAGTTAGAACCATAAAAACGACTTCCATTGAAAATTTTTTACGAAATAAAGGATATAATAGAATATAAAATCCCCTAGGCGCTTTTTTTAAATCTAAAAATACAAATGAGTATTTTTTATAATTTTTCTTATATTAAAAATATGTATATAAAATTAAATACTGCCTTGTCTTCAAGTGGTAACATTGGCGTACGCAGCGGGGGGGGGGGCAGGTGGACAAATTCCCCCCCCCCATGCCAAAAAATGCAGATGCCGGAAATATTTTTCAAAAATATTATTGTTTATATTAATTTATATTTGTTAATATTTATTCGTATCTCATATTAAATATACATTTTATTACATTTATTATCACATTCATAAGTTATTTTATCAATTAATTTCGATTTCAAGTTTTCCGGCCTAATATTTACTTTCTTTTCAAATTTTTAGTGGCGTAATATTTATCTACCATTTTCAAATTTCTAGTCAAATATTAATTATTTCTGAAACTTCTGGTCCAACAGGGAAAAAGAAATTGCAACCTTGTCCAACGAGATAGAGTCTCTTCCATCAAGCACTAACAGCTATTAAGGAGTTAGAAGGGCCAATTATTTGCTATTACTGAAATATCACAATGGCCTGAAGGAAATATCTACTCAGAAGCAAGAAAATTGGATTCAATGCTTATTCCAAATTTTATTTCTCATTAGAATGTATTATTTAATTATACAACTATTTTAAGTATTACTTTTCAAAAACATGACATTGATTTGATTTAGAAGATGAGAATAGCTGAGAGTATTTTATTAGAACTTGAGGAAATTAGGGCTAATGTTGATGAAGAATTTCATATTTTATTGTTGAGTCAAAAGCAAAGCTATACGTGTTTAAAATTTGTCTCCCTCGACTTGTAGCAAGGCAAGCTCATCGTTAAAACATTAATATAGGATCAGTAGAAGAGTATATCTTAGATGCAGATACATTTATAACCCAAATAAATGAATTCTTATTCATCATGCAGCACTTACATCTGCAAATATTACTTCCACAAAGGCCTTCCCAACCTTTTTCAGATGGTGATAGAAAAAAAAATATTTGTTAGATTTTTATTATGAAGATGTTAAAGTATCTTATGATGCCTTACTAGCTGAAAAACTATGTTTATAAGATTAACTATAGTTGATATAGTCCCAAAAATTGCTATGGATGCTCTGCATTATTTCAAACACATTTTAGATTAAATTCCCAATGTATTAAAAGGGTTTATAAACTCTTCCCATTAGTAAACTAATGAAAGAACACTCTCTTTTTTAAAAAGAATAACAAAGGCTTGGAGAAGTACCATTTGCAGGGCACGGCCCTTATTTTTTTTAAAGATTTTTTACGGCCCGGCCCGGCTTTTTTAAAAAAAATTTTTGGCCCGGCTCGGCTTTTTTTTCAAAATTTTCAGGCCCGGATTTTTTTAAAATAAATTATATTTATTTTTGATTTTTATAGCTAATAATAATGATTTCAAATATAGGCTGTTTTAAAAAATACAGCTCGGCCTGGGTGTTTTTTTAAAATAATTCAGGCCCGGCTTGGGTGTTTGTTTAAAAAAATTACGGGCCCGGCCCGGGTATATTTAAAAAAATTAAAATACTGTCCGGCCCAGGGGCCAAGCCTGCAGGTCTCTGAAAAACATACCAAGAAGTACAACATGTGAAAGTAGATTGAAAGGTTTGGATCTTTTGAATATTCATAGGCATTTGACGACAAGCAAGGAGGAGATAATTGAAAAATTAGCTCAATCCCAACGAAGATTGGATTTTACATTGTAAATATATAACATACAAAATACAATTATCCTAAGAAACTTTTTGTGTAAAGGCTCAAAAAATTCAAATTTCTATTTTGGTTCATTTAAGTGATTCTTTGCATATAATTTTTTTATAATTCACATTAATTTAAAATTGTGTATTAGGAATGGTTATTAGTCCTAATAAATTTATGCTTGATATTTTTAAAAAACAATAATATTTCTTTAAAAAATTTATTACCCCCCCCCCCCCCCCAGACCAAATTCCTGCGTACGCGCCTGATTGGTAATGTTGAAAGATTATTTAGTAAGGCGAAACCTATACTTTCTGATCGTCCCTCTAGACTTGAGGATGATAGTATAAAAATGATTTTATTATTAAAATGCAAAAAAATGAATATTATCATAAATAGTTATTTTATTACATAAATCAGTCTTTTTACAGAAATTTCTTTATAATCAAAACTAACTATAATATTTATAAATAATGAATTTATTTTATAAGCAAAAAATAGTACAAATTTATTTCTAAATTTTTTTATAAAAAGTAGCCAAAGCTACTTTTAAAAAATAGTAGCTAATAGCGAGCTACCTTTTTGATGGAAATCGATAGCGGTAGCGCGCTACTTTTATAGAGTTTAACAACTCTGGGTATGACTGACTTTAATTTTAAATAGTTGGTTAGTTGATTTTGGTATCGAAGAGATATTGAATTCATAAAATCGTTTGATATATGGTTTTTATTATTTCAGTTCGCATTATTAAAAAAATGACATATGTTTAGAGATATAATATTCATAAGTACATGGAATTAAAGAAATAAATTTACTTGCATTAATTATATTATCAATGTGATTCTCAAACAAGTTTTTTTGTACAATTAACCATTAAAACAAATATAAAAATTTTTTTTGGAAATGGATTGTTGCTCAATTACCTCAATTACCGTGAAATCGAAGAATGAGAACAAAAATTACATACGGGCAATAAATTTCTATAGAACCTATGAAGTTTTTTTCGGTATTTATTTGTATATTTTATATATTTTTTTACATACATATATCGAAGTCAATACATAGTGGATAAAATTTTATGTTTATGGTATAAGGAATTCCACAACTATTTTAATTTGCCAAGTTAAGTATATCTATTATAATTGGTAGTAAAATAAATAAATATGCAAGTATGTCATGAATCGTATATTATAAAGATATACCAAAATAAATAAAGGAACAAATATTTCAGGGACATTTACTATATAACGGTACGAAATGGACAATACGAGAAATACTAAAAGACGATAAATCATAACTCAAAAAGGACAATTCAATTAATTCAATAAATTTGACAGGGTGCATTATCATTAACCCTAAAAAATAAGATTTCCCCATGAAAGATAAATCTATCATATTGTCTCCCACTTCTATGATATCGTGTCATTGCTACATCATGTCATCTCTACCTCACACCATTGATATGCCATGTTATCGTTATGTCATGTCATGCCTATGATATTATTGCTGCGCCATGCCGCTCCTCCATGTCATCTCTAGATCATGGTAAGTATTTTTTTTAATAATATATTTTCACATTTTTTTTACTAATTATAAGAAAATATTGAGAG